GACTAAGAGACGCCACGCCCCTTTCTATAGAGCGTGGGAAGTACAGGTACAGGCCAGACCAGGGAGTGTCCCCCACTCTCACATAAGGCAGCCACATACTCACCTGATCTGCTGTAGACTGTCATAGAGAGACAGACGGACAGAAATCGAACACCACACAGGGCACAAGGCTTAGTGAGGACAAAACAATACCGAGACGCAATGTCAACGGTCAACAGTGTTGCCTGACAGCTGTGCAGCAATAACCAAGAGGCTGCTGTATTCATCAAAAAAAACATTAAAACAGAGAGATTCTCTAGAGCTCAGTGTAGTAATATTACATCATCCAACACATCATTGCCACTCTTGTGCGGGATTGGAAGAACTTTTTGTACAATATATCTCTGATTCAAATTTTTTATATCCCTCAATAAAGTAGAGGACTCTAACCAATAAATGATCCCGACTTTACACTTTAGCACCAAGTCCAGCTGGGCAGCTCTGAAAACAAGCCAAAGCACTTGTGAGTGAAGTCCTATAAGAAGACTAACTAAGAAAATGTTATGAATGAAAGGGAATCTGATACAAGGATTTCTGAAAGGAGATTATACTGAGTACTTTTTTTTTTAAGCTCACAGAGGACTAAGGGCCAAACTGCTTATTTATTTCTGCATTCATTAACTTTCTTTTCGCCATAAAGCTCTTTGTAGTTGAATCCCCTCCTCCCCCCCTCTCCCCTCCTTTACCCACTCCCCTGCCTGGCATCTCCCACATCACTATAACAACCCAGGCTGTAATGCACTACAATAACCCCCTCTGGTCCCGATTAAAACTGAGACTACAGGGGGGGGGGAAATCACTGCAACTGTACTGTGACAAATGAACAACATCAATAAACTGAAATGCTTCCGATTTTAAGAGGTGGATTCATTGTGCAGTCAACAGAAAACTGTGTCTCACCTTGCTCATAGTCGCAGATGATGTCCTCCTGACCTTTTCTCACATCAACAGGGCAGCTGTGGCTCGTTGTTCAGCCATAGTGGGGTAAGTCTGGGCTCCTTTAAGGTCCAACAGGTTGCTGCCTTGCACTCTACGTCTTCTCGCAAAAAAACATGTCGAGTACCGACCAAGTGCTCTGTCTCTGCTAACTAGTCAACCCCCGCAACATGTCGAGACAAACGAACCGGCGGACTCCTTTAAAACTCACAGGGCTAGCACCTCAAGCTAATTCACGAGCTCACTCATCAAACTTCTGTATTGCGCAAGCTCCGCGGTTTTAAAATTTCGCTTTCGCAAACCGGGAAAACACTTGTGGTAGCAAGCAAGGTGGCAACACAAGTACAGAATCGTCCAAAACCTTAGGAAGTCGCTCAAGAAAAGCTAAAAAATGTCGCTTTAGACCCCAGTTAAAAGAGGTCTTTCTTGGAGGAGTGAGCTTGGCGAGCATCCTTAATGCACTTGTTGCAGTGTTTGCAAGGGGCGGGGCCTCTAAAGGTTAGGATTGAGGTTTACTGGTTGACCGCAGCGTGGCCGTTCTACTGACAGCCAATCATAAGTAAGCAGATTGGTCGGTGACCGAAAGGCCCCGCCCACAGTGGAGCGCTCTTCATTGAAAGAAAAAAATGGAGAAGACAATGCAGCGTATAGCCTATTTCCTGCGGCTCTTTGAAGATAAAAAAAGACTAGACCTTCCAGTTGTCACTGCACCGTCTTCCTCGTGCCATGCCACTTTATCATGCCGTGAAAGTTAATGTCTCGGGTATTTCTTTTTGTGCATGACTATCCCCAAATACCAGAGGAAGAAACTGAATGAAGAATGTTGCTCTTTATTCTAACACAATAGACAGCTGGGTGTAATTAAAAACACACACTAAACAGGTAAGAGGGACAAACATGAAAGCTCAATTCCATCTGTTAAATGTTTTTATTTCACTGTAGATCATGCTCTCATTTAAAGAGACGAATCATTTATTGAAATGTTTTTAACCACTTATTGCTTAAACAATGCTTTAGAAGTGGGGAGAATATATCTTTACACAAGTTTCACTAAATCAAAGGTATATATCACAAATACTGAAAGGCATACTACCAAATTGCAGGACGATTGAGTGTTCTATTCTTTACTTTATTATTATTATTATTATTTGTTATTAACACAGATGCAAAAATATGAAGCTGTATTTTATAAGTCTGTAAATGAGTTGCATAAAAACTGACTAGTCAAATAAAAGCAGTGCCGGATTTAAAAGGCTCAGATGTGTCACTCTAAAATGAAGAGTTTTTGCATAAAGTGGTAATAATGATGTGAAATACATGTGCCCCATTTGTATTTAAGTAGATTCATTTATTAGTTGTGTTGACGGTACATTCCAGCACTGCACAATGCATTGTCACTCAAGTTTGTAGGCAGACTGATCCAGCTGATTCCTGACCTATGATGACCTAGTATAAAGTAGTCATGCCTTTTTTTTAGACCCCAAAGATTAAGAACCCAGAGAAAGTAGTGTCATCATCTTCATCGGCAAAGAGCCCATTGGACAGCTCTCCACCAGCCACCTGCAGCCACACCTTGTCCCCCACGTCCAGGTGCAGCACAGCGCCCCCTGCTGCCTGGTCCTCACTGCTTTGGTAGTTATCTGTGGTGTGGATGATCCTTGCACCATTCTTCACCAGAGCCACCTTCACGTTTCTGGAGTAGACAGTGATGTAGTAGGTGAAGAAGTAGGCTCCTGCTGCAGAACATGTGAATCTTCCCGTTTGTGGATCGTAGTGACTCTGCTGATTGTAAATAATCTTGTCAAACCGGATGGGTGTGTTAGCCGCTGGGAGTTTAGAATGAGCTGTGAGTCCCACAGAAAAGGCGCTTTTAGAGATAACTAAAGCATCTCCCTTCTCCCCCTTATCACCTCTCTCCCCTCGAGACCCTCTTTCACCACGATAACCAATGTTGCCTTTGTGGCCGGGAACCCCGATTTCCCCTTTAGGCCCTGACCTGCCGGGAGGTCCTAATGGTCCCTGAATGCCTCTGTCACCTCGAAGGCCAATCTCCCCTTTGGGACCCTCTGGTCCAGGAGGCCCCAAATCCCCTTTATGTCCTTGGGGTCCAGGCAGCCCAAGTTCTCCCTTATTTCCTTTCAAGCCTATGGGCCCTTGGACTCCTTGGGGCCCCATTTTCCCAGGGAAACCCTGTTCTCCATTATCTCCCCTTTTTCCTTTGAGCCCTACTAGGCCAACTTCACCTGTAAATGACAAGCACATCAAATCCTTTAAGACAAAGTGTGCATAAATGTTCTACAAAACCAGATAGGCTAAAAAGCTGCATGTAAAGCTTAAATAGATGGTTCAAGTAGAGGTATTAGACACGTTACAAATCTTCCAATTATTCAGAGGACATTTACCAGGCTCTCCTTTGTCTCCTCTATGGCCGTCATTGCCTGGTCGTCCAACAGGTCCTATTTCACCTTTGTGTCATAAATGATTGTTGATATCAATCACAACGTTGAACCCTTAGATACAGAAAAATGGACATGGTGTGAAGTTCTAAAGAAGTTTATTCTTCTAGACTTACCTTGATCGCCTTTTTCACCTCTGAGTCCATCTCGGCCATCTCTGCCAGGTGTTCCGTTGTGTCCGGGGTCCCCAGGTATTCCAGGGTATCCACAAACACAGCCTTTATTTTGGATTTCTTCTTGTGCAACACATCTGGCGATAAATAGAAGGAGTAAAAGAGTAACCTGAAACCTCATCTGCAACATTGTGCCTGAGGCACCTGTCTAACAAAACTGATGTAAAAAATGACAAGACTTTCAGACAAGAAGTCTAAAATAGTGCATAACTTTGCCTCTTTACCACAAAGCAAACACTCAGAAATGGAATGTCAAAATCGTTTTCTATCAGGAAAACTTAAGAGGTTCAGTGACAACTAAGACACTAACCAAAGAAAACATAATCTGGACAAGAACTTTGGACAAGAGTGACCTCAGTCCACAGAGCCATTCCATTGGTCTGGCTGGGTTTTCAGCTTACTTATTGAGTCGGTCAGTTACACATCACCTGTGCCCTTTCACATGCCTCTATAGTCTGCTTCAGGCTAATAATAAGCTGTATGTGCAGGCCAGACATAATTAAGTACACACAGATTCTCATATGCTGCCTTCTTATTCAGTTAGGCAAAAATGAAACTGAACCTTAACAAATCTTGGCATGTTAATAAACAACTAGATTGAAGAAGATTGAAATCTTTAAATGTTCATTAAAAAGGGGGTTGTTTTCAGGAATAGATGACCTGAATTAATATGAGCCATTATTTTTATTTATAATTTAAAAGGATGAAACTGTAATGTAATAAGGTTTGGTTTAGCGATTGCATGCTAATAGCTTGCTAAAATGTTAATTCAAGCATCTTTAAATGCCAACAGTCAGAAAGAATTGGCCCTACATAAACTTGATCACTGACATAAAATGTGACCTTTCGTTCCTCAACCAAGGTCTCTGCTTATCTTAATGATAGTGTGCCTCAGTTTGTCTTTATGCTGGATGGATTTCAGTGCATATTTAGAGTGGACATTAGGTCCGTGAATTCACACAGGCTCACAAAAGGTGCAAAAATGAAATGGAAGATTACAGCTATTCTTAAATATCGCAACCAAACATTTTTTTTAAATATTTTCTGACAGTATTGGTGACTTGTTTTTTGCTTTAACTGCACCACAAAGGTGCAATCTGAGATTCAAAAGCAATTCTGGACCAGCTAGGGGTTTTATAGCTTACTCAAGGTCACTCTGCAAGGCAAAGCTTTAACACAGCTTGAGTAAGGTTTCATAGGTAAAGGAGCCATCATAATCATTATGCTGCTGCCCCTTTATTAGATTGTGTACAGTTGGGAGAGACAGCAGGGATGGGCACAAGGGAGGAGCTGGAACATAAAACCAAGATAAGAAAAAAAGTCTACACACAGCATATACTTAAATATTCCTGGTTATCAAGTTACCCAGCTTGTGTTACACAGACAGACACAAATATGTGTTCACATACTTTATTGTTCAGTTCATCTTCTCACAAGCCTCCAGATATAAATATATTCAAAAATATAAACATGGCAATACATAAAAGTGCACATTCAAGCAATGTCTTTATCCAGAAACGTCACTTTCAGACATGTTCAGTTATTTACTAGGACACAAAATAGACAAAGATGTAATCTAACAAACAAATAACAACGACATGGCTCAGAATGAATGAAACTCATTTAGAATTTGTAGACAACGAATCAGGACCCAGTCTCTGTAGTCCCATAACCAGGCACAACGTGAGGTTGATTTGGTTACAGAGGATACTGCAACAAGTCTACAGACAAGATAGCAGAGGCATCATCTGTCACTGAGTTCCATTAGATTTAAGGCTAAATAATGACACAGTAACCTACCATCCTAGCACAATGACCAGTGAGAAATGGAAACAAATGTATACATATATACAAATAAATAGCAATAACATGCTGCAACATTTTTCCAGATTTAATATGTGTACAGTATAACACTGATGGCTTGTTTTGTATAGAGATTTTATCTTAAATTCTCTAGATTAAGACTAAAATGTTGTAGAACATCTTTGAAATCACATTAAGTAATCATCTGACCATGGGGAAAATAGCCAAGAAGTAATACAGCACATGGCATAAGGAGGAAGAACAGGAAGAGAGCTGGCAGAAGGAGATCTACAGTATATGACATCATTTTTTAAGACAGATCCCTCTTTTTAGGAAAGCAGCAGTTCCAGGAAAATCGAGGTTAACATAGCAGGCGTTAGAAAGGATATGAAGGTTACAGTTTTGGAGGTATTAGTCGAAAATAAAGTGTTGAAGCAAGGGAACAGGTTAGCTACTGTAGTTAGTGGTCTACATGATCTGACGATGCATACCGTAGCCCGTCATACCAGACTGGGAAGCCCCGCGGTTGCTGCCCATCTGCAGGCCGATCAGACTCTGGCCCTGGCGGAGCTGCTCTTCACTGAACTCTCGCCGATACCCCTGGGCTTTCCTAAACATGATTTAGAGCAGTTATGAACAGATGTGGAGGAACATTGGCACAGCAGGTATGCAGTTGTTACAGTGACTTTCTTTTTTACCTGTGAAACCAGTCTCGGTCTCCTCTGTAATGGCCATCGTCCTTAGTGACAGCCACGCTACCCAACGCCATTAGGGTTCTTTGCACTGCTGCCATGTCCTTTCCTTTAGCCAGAATAATGAAGAATGTTGTCATGGCAATGCTGTTAAAACTTCTCTAGTGTAAAAACTACTATGAAAGAAAAGATGCTGATCCAGCCGTACATGCATGGTAGGTAATCAAGGGTAAATCACCTTCCCAGAGGTCCACAGTTTGAAATATGTCAGTGGTTGTGACTCCGTAAGCTTCAGCTGCTTGCAGAAACTGAGAGATCTTCTCCATTTGTTTGAAGGCCATCTGCGTCTCTAGAATCTTCTTGACCGGCTCCTTCCCCCTTGGGTAAAGACTATTGATGAGCCTACAGAGGATCTGGGACAGAGGAAATCAGAAATATGAAGCATTCCCTAAGAGCACAGAAAGAAATGGATTAGATTTAGTTGATGAAGCCGATATAAAAATATAAGTAATTTCTGTCAGTGAAAATGCTTTATTTTCTGTTGCTGCATTGCACTATTCTCTGTTTAGCTACTTGCTTTAGTTCCTAAAAATTGACGACTCTCTCTGGTCTCTGATGGATTTCCCTGAAAGATTCCTCCAACATTAGAGTCAGCTGCAGTGTCAAAGAAAGAAGACACTACCTGACAATACAGGGTTCATTTCATAATTGGTTGGTAATCAGGTCTTATAGTGCTTAGGGGTCCCACTGCAGAAATTTAGTTTTTTTTCCCCCATCAACGCTACCAAAATGATTGAGTGCAAAAGTCTACATTTGTGAAGTGAGGACCAAAACATTTGTCAAAGAATACTTTCAATAAACAAAAAAAAAAAAAAGAGAAAAATAAAATAATCTTTTAGACACTTTATCCTGGCTTTTTAAATCTGCTCCAGCTGCTTTGTTTTAGCTTTAATAATTAAACGATGACTTCTATTTTTAAGACCATGTACTTCAGCTACTCACTGTCCCATCCATCAGCCATTTCTGGAAGTTCTGTCTTCCCGTCTGTGGCCTCTCCAGGTTTCCTCCACACTGTGCAACTATCCAGTCCACCAGCCGCTGCTCCAGGTCAGGGTCGTACTTCTGCTCAATCTTTTCCTGCACCTCCCGGCTCAGTCCGTAGCTGGGCCCTCTGTTTGCCATAGCTGCTTTCACAACTCTCTAGTAGTGTGGTAAAGGCTTGAAGAAAACACATGAAGCTGAATTTACCTTACTTTGTAACAACCTGCAAACATTCTGTTAAAAACATGTTACTATGAAATGACTCTTGTAGCAGAGCAGGGTGTTTTTAGAAGTCATTTTGTATTATAAATGGCTAAAGGATGGCTACTCTTCTTACTTTGATATTTCCTCCTTCCTTTTTTCTCATTTGTTTACTTTTCTGTAGAATTGAAATCCTTCAAGAAGCTATCTCTGTGTTTGAAGAAAAACCACTCCGCCAGGTTTCAGTCTCTCTGAAGCACCTGTCCCCCACAGCTCAGCACCCCACCCAGGCACAGCCCATCCAAGCTGTAGCAGTGAAGGGTGTGGTCATGGCTGCTGTCCCACACAGGGGAGAGACCAGCCCTCTTATTGCTATGGCAACAATCAAGCCCGTTTCCGGCACGCTGTGAGAGGATGGTGTAATTATGACCTCCAGTAGGCAATCATCATGGCGATGGCGCAAACTAAATTATCAAATGTATTTGCAGAAAGTTTTTTTCCTTTAAAAACAACCCATTCATTCCTCCAGCTCTATATTTAGCCTGATTGAGTTAAATTTGATTACGTCAGTCCCTTGTGGCGCATATAAAAAGGTAAATGTGAACTCTTCACTGATCTGTTGTTGGGAGCAATTCTCTCAGTTAAATTCAGTTACTTAAAAAAAAAAAAGAACCCTCCATTAATGTAAGGACGCCACATTGCTACATATCCTGCAGCTTGTTTAAACATTTAACTAACCCGGAGGCAACTGCGCAAAGCCAAAGCACTAAGCTGCGACACTGCACCGCTTGCACAAACACTTTATACACACTATGGCATGTGTTTAAAGAAGTATCATTCAACACAAGCTACGTACACTTACCAAAAAGGAGAGAGTCGGATTTGTCCGTGCAGTCAACGTTTCAGTTCCGCTGAGCTGGGCAGGGCTGAGGATGCTGAAGTGCTGAAGCATCCATGAAGCGCAGCACGGGCGCGTGGGGGGTGGAGGGGGGGGGGGGGGGGCAGGCTGGGTCCAGTCTGTCCGGGAGGGGCGAGTCATTGCTTTTTATATGCCAGCTCTTCCAGGAGGAGTCCCCTAGAGACTCTCCCAACACGAAATGCGACGCGACACCGCTTTCGTACAGTGGTCAGTGTAGTGCATGCTCAGCTTTGCAGCATGAAATGAGCATCAGCAAACCAAAGCGCATGACAATACCAAAATTGATTCAATCCTGTTTCAGACACCCAAAAAGTCAATATAGGTCATTAAGCAACTGCAAACAATATTAAAAAAAAAAGAAAAAGATTTGCCTCATGAAAAATGGCAAATATAGTAGCACGTTTGCCGTTTTATCTCGTTAGAATAGTTGTTTTAACCAGTTTCTACACAAGGCATACACTTTGATTTCTTTATCGTGTGTCAAGTAGCTTCAGTGATAGGAGTCATTTTTAAGAAAGACAACAAAATGAATACTTACTGGATGATTACTAATATACCATCCCCTGGTTCACAAAGATCCTTAGTGGGAAAAAAAACCTGCTTTTATGTAAAACTTTAGCAAATATATATATTCTAAAACATCACCCTATGCAATGTATTTTACGCTATCTCTCCTGCTGGCATTCAACGGTCATCCTAAATGCTCCCATAAATTGATTTTGATTTTAGTTTTGACACAAACAAAAATCACTGGCTACATAGCTCAAGCACGAGTTAAAGGTCAGCGCTGCAGTTAAGTGGATCTGGGAGGGTTAAGTGGTTGGCTTCGCCCCATTGAGCACAGTGCAGCTCGTGGCCAATTACATGTTAATAATCAACAGTCAGATGGCTCCATTCTGCAGGCCTCACCGTGGCTAAAGGCCACATGAATGAGTCATGTAACAGAATGTTCTGCTAACAAAAATGATCCTTTCATGGATGCAGCCAACACACTTTCGATAGAAGACAGTAGAGAGTATACTGACTTTAACTCACTATATAGAACTACTCTTTGTGTTGCCATGCTTTTATGTGTGGCTAATAGTGTTTCTGTCAGTATTTTGCTGTAATTCAATCTGGATTTGCATGAAAGAAAAATCCTGATTTATAAAAAACAAAATCTGTTTAGTAAACAGATTAGCTAAGAAATGCATAAACCACTTAAGAGTACTTAACTTTCTGTAATACAGCTCTCAATTACCTCTACTACTTTTAGATTATTAAGATGATTGTGTTGTGGTTGTTGTGGTAACAGACTGAGACCTGCACTGTAATGTGCAGAGGTTTTATTGGCCAAAACAGTTGAAAAGTGATTAAAAAAGGCACAGGAAAACTATCCATCTAAGTAAAGAGGGAGGGGAGAACAGTTAAACGATGAGAACAGCGGTACACAGCAGCAACAGAAGACCTAGTAAAGACCAACGTAACACTCCGTATATTAACGTGGAACACATACAAAATGCAACCTGAAGATATAAGGGGCTAACAGCTAACAGGAGAGCTCCCCTCAATGTAGTTTGCACTGTAACGGCTCGTTGAAATGACAGATGAAGTACAAGGAGATAAAAGGTCGTATTTGGCGGAGACGCATGCCATTGTTTGGTAAATTCTTGAGGGTCGACTTCCAAGTAAACAAAGTCTTTCTCTCTTTTATCTCAGCAACCTCTCAAGCTCACTCCCCCCGCCCTGTACTCAGACCAAAGTGGTCAGCTTGTCTATGAGATCGTCAATAGTGTAGACCATGAGCTTGATGTCATCTTTGTCAGACATGCGGTGCTGGCCGTGTCGCCGCAGGATGACGTCCACGTCAGGGCTGAGGACGCGTTCTGCAACCTGCATGGAGATGTGCCACGGGACGTCCTCGTCCTTCAGCCCATGAATGAGCCGTACTGGACAGGTGATGGGGATGGGACTCTGGAGCACACAGTGGTTTTCTGCCTCCTTCAGAAAGTCCATGTTAAACTTGTAAAAACCCTCCTCTGAATGTTTGGTGGGCACGGTCCACTCCCCCTTCTCCTCGTACTCTTTGCGTGTCTGTGTATTCAACATGGACAAATCACAGTCAATCAAAACACTACCAAAGTTTTAAATGAAAGTAATAAAATAGGATTTTTGTGATCATGTTTTTTATTCGTACCTCCAGAGAAAGAGCGTTGAAGGATGTGACAATGTGATCAGCAGCAGTGGAGATGCCTACAAGTGCTGCAGTCTTCTCTGGTCTTGCAATGGCTGCGAGCAGCATGAGCCAACCGCCTATACTGGAACCCACCAATATCTAAGAAAAAAACACCACAAAAAAAACTGTTAAGCTCCTAGTTCATTCTTATTCATACTTATTCACAAGACCATCCAGACTCGTGCAGAACAATCATGGCAGACGAAGACTAATGATACCACAAGTATGGTAGCACAGTGCCATCTTCTGGACAAATGGTGGAACATACAATAAACACGACACATGGAAATTCAATTAATATATATATATTTCAATTCCTATTTTGGAGTCACTGTTTGTAAAGATCTAAATGAGCCTCATTCTTGGTCAGTTCTTCAATAGAAATGTGTTTTTGTTAGCTAAGATCAGAATCTAAGAACATGAGGGAGCACTGTTTGAGTGCTGATATGGCAGGCCATATTTATTTGTTATTGTGTTTTTCTTCATTTTGCACTTCTAGATTAAAAGCTAACATGTATTAATACATGATTTAAATATGGTCAACTTGTATTTCAATCATGCAGTGTGAAGTCATATATTGTGTATCTTCTGATGCAACTAAATATCATGTAATCAATCAGCCTGTTTGGGTTTAAAGAGCCCATATTCTGCCCTTTTGGGTTTGTATATTTAATCTATGTACCTACTTTTGTACATTCACAAAAGCTAAAGTGCGAAAAAAGTGTCTGTTTTCATGTACTGCTCCTCCTTGCTCCCTCTACGCTCTGAGTCTGTCAGCTACGCTCTGTTGAGCCCACGTGGGCCAAGTCTGCTCTGATTGGTCTGCCGATCCGCTCTGTTGTTAATGGTCAGTTGCTCAGCACGTGTCTCAGAAATTTCAACATGAGCTGCAGGGCTTGCCACAACGAGCCAACGGGCTTAGATCAGTGATCTCACACTGACAATGACGTCGCACTGACAAATTTTTATCGAGGGGGGCTAGAACTGAGCGTTACATGCGGCTAATGCTACAGCTAACAGGAGAACGTAGGAGAAGCCACGTTTCTGCGGACTTTGAATTTTTGCACACAGATGTGCCTAAACATGCACAGGACACTTGGAAAACACACTAAAGGCATATAAAACCAGAAAAAGCATAATATGGGACCTTTAACTATGTAGTTTTGGTAGAGAAATGTGAAAGTTGGAGAAATGTACAGATTATGTGGTATATGTTCATAACTATATACACAAACTGTGGTCCCTGGAACACTGTTAAATATAAAATGCTAGGTGGGAAGTTATGGTGGTGGGCGCACAACAGTGAAAGCGTAACTCTCCTCGTAGCTTTTTAGCTCCATTGTTCCGGGGAAACATTTTTTCCTGTGAATAAAGCTTGCGCATTTAGTTCAGAAAATGTAGCATAGTTTTACTTCTCCAACTTTCAAATTTCACTACCAAAACTACATAGTGCACCTTTAATTTTGATCAGCACATCTATTTTAGAACTACTTCAGTATTTCTAACTTGGCGTGCTGGTCACCTTCACTTGAAGATTTTAATTTGGGCATTTCTGACTCTGGACTTCTCTTTTCAATCAGTGTGTGTGCTGTATGCACATGGCCCTCTATTCTCATCATAAAGGCCATGTTTCTATGTTTTCTATGAAGCACAAATTTAAGAACGAGCTTAAGAAAATATAGGTGAATGAGGCCCAGTACATCTCTTATAACTCTAAATACATTAAAAGTCCCTTTCCTTTAAAATAACTGTTCTGTGTAAGTTACTTCTCATGGCCCTCACTGACCAGCTGTCTATGTTCACAGTTTGAATCCTTGAAGATCTGCTGAAGTGAGAACGTTTCTTTGTTCACATCCGTCCAACACAGAAACCTACAAAGAGAATTTTGCGAAATCTGATGTAGTTTTGAGCCATGCACTTTACATGTAATGTAATTTACACAGCTGTCACTTGGAAACATGAAGCCTCCAGTGAACAGACAATGACAATGGAGGATTGTATCTAATTAAACCTTGGTACAATGTCAGTGTTTCATGGAGACTGGATTGTTCAATGAGGGATATTGAAAAACTTTTTTGTCAAGGTAATTTAACTTTTTGTATACTAGAAACATATTTTGATTCCATGCAGCATGCAGGTATTTACAAACATTTATTTAAAGTTCACTAATGGAACCTCAGCCTGAGCTTAACATCAGAACTGTATACATTTGTCAGGGTTTAAATTAGGAATTACATTTTTAAAGCCCAAGAAAACTCCAAGGCACTCTTTTTGAACTTTTCAAATGCCAATGCCATTACATGAGAGACGTGTCTTGTGTTGATAAAAGTGCCCAATCAAAAGAGCAGATCAAACAATCTCTTTATGGGCTCAGGAAGCTGTCCAAAATGTTAACTATTTGAAGTCTTGATTCAGTTAACAATGTGCAAAAGTCCAGCTGATCGCAATCTATACAGCTAAGATAGATTTGGATTCATTCCTTTTGCAAAGTATGTGTACTATCTAAAAACTGGACATTTTATAGGACGTGTGTAAATGAAAGGAGTCTAAAAAAGCTGAATGAGGGAAGTGTTGTTTCTATGAGAACTCTATTAATGTTACAGCTTAGATATTGAAAGTGAGTCTGATTCATCCATCCTTAGTGTATATCTAGCTGCCCGGTTATTCAGCTCCAACCTTCAGTGTCACGATATTGCAGAGAGATTTCACTGAGTGATGACTTGTTTGACAGTTTAACTGGAACTCTAGATTGCCAGTGAGCTTCATATTACATTTAGCCACCAAAAGTTGGAGGTGATCAGCTGCACATTATGTTGGGAAAAGTCATCTATACAATTAATAAAATCAAAATCATTACTATTGGAAAATCAGAAAAATAAAATATACATACTTGACAAAGGTGTGTTTCTGACATGTTTCACACTCTATCAGGTTGCCATCTTAGCAGCTTCGCTGAAAAGCTCTGATGTTTGAAAGATCTTTAATCATCTTACAAAAAGTTGAATATTAATATGCTACACACTCTTAAAACTGGTTTTATCTTTCCACAAGGGAAGGTAAAAATTATATTGCTATTTATTTCCTATGATGACCATCTTTCTAATTGTATTGAATTTTGTTTGTACTTTTTTCTTTTACTTCTTGTTATCTATAGCTTGATTACATTCGCGGCCTTCCACGTACTGCCTATGTGGCTCTGATAGTCTTTAAATACAGCACCTAAACCCTTTTACTGTGGTAGGACGGACCACTTGGCTGTAGCTTATCCTGAACGTCATACTATTGTATTTCAACGTCTGCATATTGAACGAAAACAAAAAAGTTACTGTAATTTTTCACTGAAAATAGAGTTTAGCCCTCTTGTTTACATATATCCAACGTTTCACTATGCTTCCTTACATACACGTCTCACACTAACACGAGGAAAGCGTTGGAGTCACTATTTCTAATGCACATAGATCCACACCTGTTGTAAGTCTAAAACTGTTCTGAATGAAACTGTTCACCTTCCATCCCTGTTGAGCAAAGTTTTCAGAACTTCACTGATTACTAACCGACAGTCATCTCCAAAGGGGTATGAACCAAAAGAAATATTTACCTGTGGCCCCTCTACTAACTCATCCAACACGAAGAGGACGTCTTTTTTCCAGGTACCAATCGTCCCTTCTGCTAGCACCCCCTCCGAGGCCCCATGTCCTGTGTAGTCAAACCTGAAAACAATAAATGGAACAGGCAATGGGCATCAGACGTTAAAACAATTGCAAGCCATAAGAATCAACATTTAATTGTTTTTAGACATAATAAGTACAATTAATAATTAATATACTAAATGTTGGATCAGCCTTTTGAGTATTCAGTAAAACGGATGCATGCATTTTCAATGCCACCACCACAAGAGGAGGCTTTGCAATTGATAGATTTGAAATGGTTGGAGAAACTAAGAATAGTTCGATTTAATACTGACTAATAATCCACCCTTTTACCATTCACTGTCTTAAAGCCGTCACTAGTCACTGGATCTTTATAGTGCGTTTCTTATTTTGGCCTCTGATTTTTTTTAAATGACTCTAAAGAGTTCCAAAATCTGTTGAATATAACCAACTTTTATTATAAAGATCTCTTTAAGTCAAGAAAATCACATCTTATCCCTCAGTTATATCCAGAAAAACATACGGCATAGTACATGTTGAGAGCACAACTAATGTCCGTGAGCAGGCCTTGGCAGTAGCTGTCTTACAGAACTATAACTAATCCTTCAATTTCATTTTATTCAACACTCAATGTAGGATGAAACTGTGGATGTATGCAGGTAGTATACATCTTTCTGAGTTCCTGTATTTTAATTTAGGTTCTTTCAATCCTTTGACACAACTATGATATTCTGTTTAATACGATTAAATGATCAATGCAACCTTTGTAATGTTCAGCAGGCGCTTCAGATGTGTCTGATGTGTGTACAAATACAATTAAAGACTGAAAACATCCAGGACTGATATTTGATGTATGAGGGTTGACATTTAGATATGATATATTCTGGTTTATGAGATTATTTTCAGGGCATGGTCACAGCATGCATCCTTTATCAGAGGTTAATTTGAATGTCTTACCTAAGATATGAGTGTCCTAGTGACCTACAGAACTCCTCCAGTGACTCAGCTTTCTGCCCATTCATGCTGGAGCCATATCCGGGGAGGAAGACCACTCCTGGACTCTTCCCCTTAGTTCTTCTGTAGGCCAACTTGGGGAGGTCTGGCCGTGAAGCATACTGGACTGTGGACTTGTGTCTCCTACCTCCTGGTTTACACAGTGCAAAGTATTACAGCTTTGGCAAAACATGTTATGCAAATGACTCAATGTACAGCATATTATCTAAATTACATATTTTTACCTGAATACAAACACACCCCTTTATATTGGTAAAAGTTACAAGCTTGGGGCTTTTTTTTTTTGGTTTAGATCGACCACACATAAAAAATAAGTTAGGCAATGTGACACTCCTATTTCAGGAATTCATGTCGAAATGTTCTCACACACAAGAATGAGCCCAGACGGCGCAAAGCACACAACACAGGCGCAAACACCGCGACGTTTACTGCCCTAAATTTTGTAAGACGACGCAGTGAGTGAGCCACACCCCCTCCGCGGCGTTTAAATCTCCTCACGTGAAACTCAAGCGTTGTGTAATTCATTGCAGCCAAGCGGAGACTTAAACAAACCTTCAAGACGCTTTAAAGACAAAGCAGCGAGCCCTCCATTGCTTGAAATATGTGAAAGTCCTCTGCGGCAGGACCTCAGCGCCACGGCTGCCATACTGCTCCTCGACCCACTGAGGAACTATCGCGAGAGTAGCAGCGGTGACTCGTTTACTCTCAGAGCAGGAGCAGGAGTAGTCCATGACAAAGGAACCACAGCACAGCTCTGTGGAGGAGTGGTGCAGGAACTATTTAGTAAGAGTAAAAGTAGCAACTAGATGACTTATTTCAAAATTGTAAAGCATTACTCTTGCATTAAGAAAATAATACATATACTTAACTTTAAGTAGCCTATCATATGATACAACACAGCACAACAAAAAGCAAGCTTAAAAGTTCATCATGTTTTAAGAACACATTTTTATTCAATGCATATTCTACAAATTACATAGTCATATTAGTTTTGCAGTGAATTATAAAAGAGCAGATAACTTCAAAACGTATAAGACTATACTTGACTTACCATTACCCTGGACTTGCTTTCACTTGGCTATCTGGGATGAATTTCTAATAATAATAATAATAATACATATTATTATTGACTTTCCTATTTTGTTTTTTAGTTTTTTAGTCATAATCTCATCAAGGGTAAAATTAACCAGGAGTTACCCAAACTTTTCAGCTCATGACCCCCAAAATAAGGGGGCCAGAGACTGCGGACCATTATGTCCTTGGAAGTGGTTAAGGCTTATAAAGTAATGCACCACCAGGCACATACATTAACAGGCCAATACAAGTGACACAAAACAACAACACAAACACACAACAAAATAGATATAATAAAACTATTTATAGTCATTTATTGTAAGAAAGGCTAGTGGCAGAATACAAGTTATTTCCATGTATTGACCTTAGGACAAAAAAACCTTAATAAATAAATAGACACATAGGTGTGTTTATCTTCATGTAAAGAGCAGCAGACACCTACATTGTCATTTTCAAAGTAACATTTTATTATACACATCGATCTCATTTTCATTTTTTTCAGGTTTATTTTATTTTTTTTAGCTTTTTATGAGGGGAGAGAGAGTGGTGACTGACATGCGGGGAAGGAGCCACAGGGCGGATTCGAACCTGAGCCTGGAGGACTATAGCCTTCGTACATAGGCAACCAGCATCCCATCAAGTTAATTTTCATTTCAGTTAAAGATATGGTTTTATTTGAAAGTGAAACACTTCATAGTATATATGAACAATAGCTAAAATATAAAATTTTAAATGATTTTAAGTGTTTATTAGTTTTTTTTAAGGCATCTCAGGACCCCCCCCCTTTTTTCTCGACCCTCACTTTGGGAACCACTATAGGTTATATTTTATTGGCCCATATATTTTTAGACAGTTTATTATAATGCGTAAAAAACACAATCATTCTTTTTTTTATATTTTTGGTTGAGCTGGGCCAAATATTAAGATGCGAGCAGAAAACTGGATTTAATTTTTGAGTCTATTTTAATTCCTTCATTCACGTTTACATTTTTCCCCCATCTATGTCTATTTGCATGCTTTTTATTTTATTTTAAATATATATATTTTTTTTTTACCACATTAAACATCCATTAGCCTACTTTGTTCGGCGGGGGGGGGTGACAATTTTTTTTAATTTTTTTTTTTTTAAATATCAGACACGAGATTAACATTTCAGTAAAACAGACCCTGTTTGGACAACATTAAAAAAAAAAAAAAGCATGTGGCGAACTTGTGTGTTTGTGACTGTCATGTGAAGTGTCAGTGTGTAACATGACTCAGAGCGTCACAGGCGGAAGGTCACGGAGCAGCAGAACGGAACGGAAGCGGGAGTAAAAAAGCCTGTCCGCCATTGTGGAATATGGTGAAGGGATATTCCAGTAAGACACTAGTCACTTTCAGATTGACTGTCTAAGACCCCAGAAATCTGTGGCAGGATCCGACACATTCACCGAAGCCTTCTCCACACACACACGCACACACGCCGCAGTTTTTTAACAACCAGAAGAACAGGATCGTCATCAGGTTTTGGTCCAAAAGGGAGGAAAACACCGCCTTGTAACCCACTACAGGGTGATTGGACAACCCGAGAGACGAGCCAGGAAAGCACCGGAGAGAGAGCGAGAGAGAGAGAGAGAGAGAGAGAGAGAGAGAGAGAGAGACAGAGAGAGGAAGGGGGAAGCCGTGGACAGTCTCACTAAAACAGCGATCAGTTTCGGTTCCTAGAGGATGTCTGCAACCACAGTCGATCAGGTTCGTGTATGTTCATCTCGAAGGTGATGTGAAACTTTAGCGACAACAGTTTGATCTTGGTTTGTCATGCCGGATCAAACAGGCTGAAAACTCTCTTGATATATGATAGCTATTAGCTTTTTTTTTTTTTTTTTTTTATGTAGGCCGACTTTAGCTGTAGCCGGCTGCCTACCAATGCGGCAGCGTTTACTGGATGTTTGACATCCGCTCAGTAACGTCAAGAAGCAACATGTAAATGTGAACATCCGGACTGAGGTTTTTTTTTTTAAGCTTTACTACCATCGTCTGTTTTATTTATCCGGCTAGGATACAGCCTGCTCTGTGTGTGTGTGTGTGTGTGTGTGTGTGTGTGTGTGTGTGTGTGTGTGTGTGTGTGTGTGTGTCTTGTTTCCTGTCGTGATCTGACAAGTCTCACCTATTTTTCCTGTGCTGCTCATTATTTCAGAGACCTAAAGGACAAGGAAATAAAGGTAAGTGGTGTTTAAATGGTGCTCCAGCCCTCGTTTTATTAAAAGGCTAATCAGTGTGGCTGTGCCAGCTGTTTTGATTTCAAATTAGCTCAAATGCTATCAGGAGTACTTGGTGGTTTAGCTTTAAAGCAGCAGCAGCAGCAGCTGAAACTGCAGTTCTTTTTTGGGCCATAGTTGATGTGTTGCACAAGCATGGAAATCTTATTTTGTCATATTTCAGTTTCATTCGTCAAAATGTGTTAACTTGAGCCTTACATGCCACACTGCTCCAGCTCAGTGCACAAGATGATTTAATGTCCCCTCTCTCCTCAGTGCAAAACGGATCAATGCATCAAAAGGATGGAGTAAACGATGATGATTTTGAGCCTTACTTAAGCGGCCAGACAAATCAGGTAACATCGAAGTTTGACAAAGGAATCACCTAGAACCAGTGTTGATATTACAACGTCATGGGTATTTCAAATTAGTGTATTTTATTTACGTTAAAAATCCAATACTATCATTCCTATTTGGTTGTTTGTTCCCAAGTAGCATATATGTTCTTTTAATTCAACACACAGTCTGTCTTTATTATTCTAAATATCGTCATCATGTTAGATTTGTTCAATTAAACATCTTTGCATTACATTAACCGTCTGTCTCCCTTTGCCACACAGAGTAACAGCTATCCACAAATGTCTGACCCCTACATGCCAAGCTACTATGCTCCTTCAATCAGTTTCCCCTACTCTCTTGGAGAAGCTGCTTGGTCCACAGCAGGAGACCCCCCAATGCCCTACCTAACTACCTATGGACAGATGAGTAATGGCGAACCGCATTTCATCCCAGACGGTGTGTTCAGCCAGCCAGGGGGCCTGGGGAACACCCCTCCCTTCCTGGGCCAGCACGGTTTCAACTTCTTCCCTGGTAACGCAGACTTTTCCACCTGGGGTACCAGCGTCTCTCAGGGTCAGTCCACACAGAGCTCTGTCTACAGTAACAGCTATGGGTACGCCCCCAGCTCTCTGGGTCGGGCTATTACAGATGGACAGGCAGGGTTTGGAAGTGACACCCAGCTTAGTAAAGTTCCCGTGCTGAACAGCATTGAACAAGGTATGACAGGGTTAAAACTGGGTACGGACATGGTGGCAGCTGTCACTAAAACCGTGGGTTCCCCCCTGGGAGGTACGGCAGGTATGAGCAGCATGGCGGCCAATAGCCTTCCTCCGTCTGTCAGCTCGTCTGCACCTAAACCCGCCTCCTGGGCAGCCATCGCCAAGAAGCCGGCCAAGCCACAGCCCAAGGTCAAACCCAAAGCCAACATGGGAATGGGGGGAGGTGCTGCAATTCCCCCACCACCCATAAAGCACAATATGAATATTGGTACTTGGGACGATAAGGGCTCCCTGAACAAGCCCCCATTAGCTCAGACTATGATGCCCCCGCAGCCTCTGTTGCAGCAGCCCCTCCTCGCTCAGCACCAGACCTTACTGCAGAACCCACTGCCCCATCAGCCTCAGCACCAACACCAACACCAACACCAACACCAGCATCAACACCAACATCAACACCAACATCAACACCAACACCAGCCCTTCCAGCTTCAGTCTCTTCAGTCCCCCCAACACCCCCAACACCCACAACACCCCCAACACCCCCATCCTCTAGCCCCCGGGCCCCCACACCTGCACCTCACCTCTCAGCCTGGCCCCCACAGCCCCTTCATCAGCAACAACCCCAGCAGCCCGGTCCACCCCCCAACCGCTGGGTGGCTCCCAGGAACCGAGGTGAGGGCTTTGGTCTTGGTGGGGGGGTCCCATTGAGTGCCTCCCCTTGCTCTGGAGAAGTGCATCCCGTGCTGGAGAAACTCCGCACCCTCAACAACTACAACCCCAAAGACTTTGACTGGAACTTGAAAAACGGACGCGTTTTCATTATCAAGAGCTATTCAGAAGACGACATCCACCGCTCCATCAAGTACTCTATCTGGTGCAGCACAGAGCACGGCAACAAGCGTCTGGACGGTGCCTACCGCTCGCTGGGCAACAAGGGGCCCCTGTATCTGTTGTTCAGCGTCAACGGCAGTGGGCACTTCTGCGGCGTGGCTGAGATGCACTCACCGGTGGACTACAATGCCTATGCAGGCGTCTGGTCTCAGGACAAGTGGAAGGGCAAGTTTGAGGTGAAGTGGGTCTTCATCAAAGACGTGCCCAACAACCAGCTTCGTCATATTCGGCTGGAGAACAATGACAACAAGCCAGTGACCAACTCCAGGGACACTCAGGAAGTGCCTCTGGAGAAGGCCAAACAAGTGCTTAAAATAATCGCCACTTACAAGCATACCACCTCAATCTTTGATGACTTTGCACATTATGAGAAACGTCAGGAAGAGGAGGAGGCTCTGAGGAAGGTGAGATAAACACACATATACAGAACTGTTTCCTGTTTTAACCTGTTTTTTTTTTTGTATATGCCAGAGAGAGTTCACTGTAGTTACCTTTTGAATCCAAAGGGAGGCTAACTTTCACCGAGTCACTGCTACGGCCTGTTGCCAGACTATAATCAGCTGATCTGGTTCCACCTGCTCTCAAATAGAGGTTGTAACTTCCTTTGGCTGAATGAACACGCCGGCGTAAATGGAAGTTCCCAGAAGCTCGTCAGTAGACTGACATTACTCAGAAGCAGGTTCAGGAAGCTGTGATTCCTCATCAGCCATCTTGTACTGCTGAGATTGTGATGCTGATTAGACGCATAGAGGTTTCCTGAAATAGCCCACATTCCTGGCATTCTTTTCCTTCAGACAAAGGCAGATGCAGGCTCTGATCTCTCTTTGAACGCCGAGCCTCTCTGCTCTCCACAGGCTCCTCATGCTTTATTAGTCTTTAACAACATAAGCCCTCGGCCTGCAAACTGGCTGCAGCATAGCTCAGAGTCGGCACAGATTGTCTCAGATGTTTCCCAGCAAAAACGCAGGATAAAAATGCATGAATACATTCATCTGTGTACATCGTTTTGAAAATTCACAAAGAGTGTTAGCCTAAGCCTGCAAAGCTAAAATATTGTGCAGGAGTCATACCAATGGTGTGCCACAAATGTTTGTTATAAAAACTCTGTGGGATTTTACTGTTGAGGAAGAACAGCAGCAAAGGAGTGAATACTGTGTTATCATTGCTATCGTTCTGCAGTTTTCATTCTCATATTCACCAGTATGCTAATCTGGTAGTTTAGAAAAACCCCATGACTCGCTCTCTTCTTTGCTCCTACTCCCCTACTGCTGCTGCTCCATTGATGCTGTATTGACTCCTCGGTGCAGACCTTGTTAATATGCGCTGGGTTACTTTCTCATAAATATTTCAAGTCAATGTTTTCAGGCTTCTGAAAACAACCTGTCAGTAGAAAGCCTGTTTCATCTCGCGTTGTGCAGGCGTTGCGCTGTGCTGCTTTTGTAGCCCTGACCTCCTACATGACAGGATCGGCCCAGCCGAGGCCTCGCCCTCCTCTGCTTGACAAGGTTAATTGTTCTCTATTGTTTGGCCTGTCCTTCCCCAACTTTGAGAGGTGTCAAACCAGCACAGCTACCTGCACCAAAGCACCTCCCCACAGTGTTTTTTTAAGGATAACTTTGGATCTAAATGTTGCTGCAAGATTTTTATTCCAATAAACAATTAAGCTGTTAATACTTAAAGATGAGCTTTCTCCCCCTTCCTCTGGTTATACATCAACAAAGAAGCTCATGGTGTGAAAGCTTGAATACCAGTCTGCTGGTAATGGCTACAGTTGTTATCACACCAGAGGAGTTGCAGCTTAGTTGTTTGAATTTTGCGGCGAAGGGATTTACGTATGTCAGTTAAACGAACATTTTTAGTTTACACATGTCATTGTGAAATAGCAGATTAGATTTCTGATGAAATGATTGCAAACAAAATGGCTGCCAAATTGCCTGAGGTTAGCTCCATATGAATGCCTCGATCTTACAGACCTTTTCTCCAACCACGGCCATGTAAACTGGTAAACAAAGAGACTCTTCTCCCTGTAAAAATGCTACAATCTGTTCATTAGCCGGGCTCCTTTTTTTTTTTCTCTGTTCATTTATTCATTTGTTTTCATGATCAACAGTTACACATTGTTCCTCTGTCTTTTTAATTCCTTACACACCCTTAAATGTTTGATATTTAAGGGTGTGTTTTGATTACGCCTGGTTTTCTGGAGTATGTGTGCAGTCGTGTGTTTATCCACACAAGACCGGCATTACAACAAGCCTTCATGTAGCCGCTGCTGTGTAAACATGATGGAACATTTGGGTGAGCAGGTACCTGAAGCCTACTGAACTCAATCTCTCTACATTGTTCTTACTCCAGACATGTTCTTGAGACAGCCTCATGTATCCTGACTTCACTGATGGATCACTCTGATCTTAAGTTTTCTTCATTTTATCCCTTGAATTATTATTATTTTTTGCTTGTATTGGATTCTTATGTTTAGGACAACACGCAGCACATTTTTGGGGGGTTTCTGTTACTGAGCTCAAAATGTTAGCCACTGAAACCAGGTTTGGAAATAGAGGTGCGAGATTGAGCATAACACACAACTTTAGAGATCGGTGGTGATTCTAGAGTCTGTTGGGGCCCTCTGCAAAAATGTACAGGGATCTCTCCAACCAGCGTTTATCCCCATTATGTTCTAAGTAATAGTTACCATCGTCTGCATTTTGAAGGGGCATATCATCCTTGTCTTTAGCGAGTGCCAGAAACCTTTGTAATGATCCAGTGTCTTGCGTTCTTTTTGTCCCTCATTACTTGTTCAACTCCCAGATGGATAATTCATCTTTCTTTGTCTTTGGGGACTTTGAGAACGCTGAGTTGTTACACGTGCAACGCTTAGCAGAGCAACCAAAGTGATGGGGCCCTCTTAGGTTTCCTTCCTACTGTCATTGCAAAAATGGGACATTTTAAGCCACTGCTTTGGTTTAAAGATTGTCAGCCCTCAGGGGGGCCCCCCCCCCTTACTGGCCTGGGGGAGGGGGCCCAAGCAGTTGCCTGCTTTGCCACTTGACAAGCAGCGCCTCTGTTAGAGATTTAGGTGCTCTTAAATCTTATTAATTATATATATTTTTTAAATATTCTAAGACAGCCTCTTGGTTTCTTGCACAGATTAATACAGTACTTGAAAGCAGACAAACAAAGCAGAGGAAAAAGCTGCACAGAAGCTACTTTACATGAGGCTGTAATTGAAACATTTATCACAAACTGAGTGATGCTGCAAACTCATTACACTTCTTTGAGCTGTTACTGATTTAAAAACTTTCATTGAAACATCTTTTTTTTTTGCACATCTATTAAGAATACATGCATGCACTCGAAAAGACATTCAGAGAGGTTTTTCAGAGTGTTCTGAAGATATGTGAATAAACACATTTATATGCTCTATATTTATCTGATGCGTCTCTGCTCAGAATAAAACAGCATCACTTGCTTGAACTAATGTCATCTCTTACTAGATGAAACTTTTAGAACTTAAAGCTCAAGTGTCACAATATTTTTAGGGAAGTAACATTTTAAACTTTGCCCAGACACGGCATTCATATGAATCCAACTTGTACACGAATAAGAGGCCATGGGATCAGCTCTGTTGTTGCTGTTGTTGTTGTACTTCTAGCTTCTGTTTATGCCCGTGTTGCTCATGTTCTGGTGCTTAACCACTGACTATCTCTTTCTGTTCTTTGTTTTGTCTCTTGCCAGGAGCGCAATAGAAATAAACAGTAACCTTCAAGCAAGCTCTCTGCTGGAACTGCAACACTAATGACGTAGGACCTTAAATACAAATGTTTGCCTAACCACGAGGAGGAACGGCTCTCACAATCTTTTTCGCTGAAGACAACAATGTATCTGAGCACTTGAACATGAAGATAGGTGGACTCATCTGTACTTGTTGACTGGTGCATCAAACCCCGTGTTCCTGTCTCACAAGATAAACAACGTAACCCACTTTCTCTAAAGCACTTTCAGTCCTCCTAAACAGCCTCTACCATTACCCCTTAACTGTCTAACTGTGTTCTTCTTCTTCTTTGATTTTTCGTTTGTGAACGACTAACTGACTAACCCGAGTAGTCAGCAGATTTCACAAGGCTTATTTGTAATTTTTTAAATGCCTCAAATGTTTAGGATATTGGCAAGCTTCATGAAGAGAATTAAAGATGATATATATGAATTAATCAGCTACTTGAATCTGTATTCAGCCGTCTGATCCTCGTCAGACAGAGGTTCACATGATTGACAGATGGGACGAACTAATTGGGAAAACAGCCACAATCATGCCAATCATAAGATGAATCCTTCCCCCTACCTGTTCACTTCCTTTCTGCATATGTTACCATGTACCAAAAGATTATAATTATGCAGCAGGCTGGCAATCACTGGCCAGTGCACATCTTTTTTTCTTTTTTTTTTTTTCTCTTGTGATTCTGTCATTCTGAAGTGCATTTGTCTGAGGAGAAACCTGCTGCTCCTTTGTCGATGTCCTCTGCTGTACCTCAGGCTCAATCAGACTGTCTGTCCTCAACAACTCTGTGCACTTTTGGGAGAACCCCCCCCCCCACCCCCACCCACCCATCACCCCTTCTTTCTACTTGGCTTGACCGGGATTCCCCCAAAAACTGCAAGACATCGACTGACAGGATGTGACGGGTTTCTCCTCTAGGTGACTCACTAGCTAAATAAAATTACCCATGTTTAGCGCAAACCTTGCTTTTGTGTTTTTTACTCATTTGAATCAGAGATGTGAACATGTGCCTCTAGAGAAACAGGCATGTGTACAGTAGCAGCAATCCATTTCCCCCGTCTGCTCTGCATCCCTGCATTAAACTGACAATGTGTGTAAAGTGTGTCAGTGTGCGGGGGTTGACCATAGACTCAAAATATCAAAGGTGTACAATAAATAGACTTGAAGATGACACCATATCAACATGTTTGCTATGTGGGAGGCAGCACTGCCAGCTTAAAGTGGGTTACTTTACATCACAGTACAAATGCAGGAAACAGCCAGTACAGTAACGCACACTCTTACCTGTATGGAGTCAAACAAAGACATTAGGGTTAGAAGTTACTCAGAGCATTTAAGTCTTCTACTAAATCACAATTTTAAGATTCTCGTGATTTTCTTGAGCTATTTCCATTTTATGCAATGTTGTGCTTGTACTCCACAGCATTTCACACATATTGTATCCTTATACTCCGCAAAATGTATTTGACAGCTTCAGTTACTCTCTCTATAAGAAACTTATATTACAGATTAAACTGTGTCTTTTAGCCTTTTCAGCCTGTGAGTGTGAAAAACTGTGTGCGGTTGGGGTTTGGGAGAAGACTTTTTCCCTTTCAACATCTAACATGTTTTTATTCAAATAATACATTAAATGAGAATAGAAAATACTTTGTCTACTTTTTGCATGCAAGAGGAAGAAATTTGTGTTTGACCTGCATGTGCAAGTGTATGCTATTTAAACACAAGGTAACAAATTGACACAATGTGGAACATAAAAAAAACAAAAAACATTTAATAGGCTTAGAACACTACATAAACATGAATGAAGAAGTGGTTCAACTTCATTTGAATAATTTTCAAGTCATCTATCATTTTGCATAAAACAAAGATTTGTATAGTGTATAAAAGGAAAACAGATTTTTTTTTCTGCCTTCCTTTTCCAACAATGATATCATGACCCCTCAAATCGAGCCTCTGAGGGGTCGCAACCCCTAGGTTTGGAACCGCTGGACTGAACTAGATGAAGTCTTTATAAAGTTGTTATAACAAGCCCATCTCATTTACTTATGGATATGGATGATTTAAGTGAAATGATTGTGTTATTATATTGCTATGATATATAAGGTAGAGTGAGTGACACCTTGATGCCACAGTGTACACCTCTCCTCTGAACAGGATACTCTAAGCGCCCTGTATAGTGTAAGGCTGGTTATAAATAGCCTCATAAACATGCAGGTAAAATTGATGTTAATCCCCTGGCTGCTCGTACAAACCTGACATACCGGTAAGTAGTATTGAAATCTCAGGGAGAAACTAAAACTATAACCTTCCCCGAGTGTTTAAAGCCATGAATCTGGGACGGTCCCTGAAACAGTGTGTGTTGTCCAGTTTAAATGCACATCTGTCTAATCTTCCAGATTGTTGAAAATATTTTATGTAGACACAAACTCAACTGAATTAAAAATGTTTTGTTGCAGCATTTTAAATAGGTGAACATAAACTCTATTTTTACAGCCATGTTTCCAGCTGTGATCAGTGCAACAAAACAAACAACCCACATATAATAAAGACTTTTGGAGGTCCTTGTCTTGGATTACATGAAGTCTGCAAAATGAGCTTTATCTTGAGTAACTGTTTGTTGTTGTTGTTGTTGTTGTTATTGGGGATAAATATTCCACAGGTTATTGTTAAATGTCATAACAGGGACAAAGGTGGCTCCATGCTATACATTTCAGATGAATATTTTTGTAAAAAATGTAATTATTCTTATTATACAGAAGCTTTATTCTATTTGTAATGATTTACTCATGCATGGAGGTAAACAGGCCCTGTACAAGTGGGGCTTAGAAAGTAAGGAGTTACAGTACAAGGCTCAAATCATTTTTTTAGAGTTACAAAAATGTATTCCACTATCTGTCCACCAGAGGGCGCCCTCACATCACGTTCAGTCATCCGTCCACGGCTCTCCTGATGCACCACAAAGCCTCTCCTGAGAGCAATAAAGCTTTCTTCTCAAGCCCTCCAACTCCAGCAGACACAATTATGCCAGGATGAGAAGCACTTGTTGTGCCTCCGCAGCTTTTCTGCAGCGATTAATGCCTCTCACCCAAACTGTGCGGTCAGATGTAGAGGAGAGAGAGGGAGAGGAAGCGAGCATTACATTTGATGCTTTGGATTGTGATTTCTCTCCTCTGTGTGTTCATTTGTGCATCTTTCATGTTCTTGAAAAGAGCAAACTTTCCTGCCTACATTTGTGTGTGAGCAAAGCAAAACACTAAGAACTGAAATAAGCAAAACACTGATTTAATTATAGACTTCTGATTTGATGATGGTTGTCTCTCGTTTGTTGAAAATGATGACTTGTTCACTTTGTTTGTCTTTGAAATTTGAATAAACAGGAAAAATGTAATTTCAATTTCAATGGTGTGTCACTTTGTTTTTACCATTCAGTGATCAAACTAACTGGCTAATGACTTTAATGTCACCAGCTTTTAATTTCCACACTGGTCAAAGCCGTTCCAAGAAAGTGCCAAGCAAACTTTTATCCCCCCCGATCCTCACCCCCACCCCTCCCGACCATCAAAATGTCCTTCTGCAGAGGGATTCAGTCGAGCAAAGATGAGAGAGAAGGAGCATCCTCTGCCTTATGAGCTGAAATGCCTTTGAAGTTTCAGTCACACTCAAGACTCATCAACACATGGCTCAAGGCAAGGTTAAGCCCAGTCTCAGGGTTGGCACTTTCTCAGTGTTTTGAAGGATTTCACACTGTGGGCCATGACGTGTCACTCAGAAAGTCCTCGCAGAACATTAGTCCTAATGATGACGATGTTATCTGACATGAAGAAGATCAGAGCAACTTGTAATTATTCTGTAAATGTGTTGCTTTGCTGATTAGCATTGTATGTACGGTATCCAAAGCTCCTAGTTTAAAGTGAGAAATGTAAGTGCTTCAACATTGATTATTGTAATAGAACTCACAGCTGAGTCCCATTTTAAAAGCTAGATTTCAGCTTCAAGGTGTTACTCAGCATGTCAGCTGAAATAATCAACAGTTTTATCTCTCATTTGAAAACATTGGCCTTTGACTGACAGTAATGTCGAAGTTTTCTTTCTGCCCTTCTCCAAGGTGTCTCTGTTGCCATGGTTATATCATTCTCTGTGAAGTGAAAGTAGAGGCTGAGCATTTTGCTGAACACAATGATACGATGTAGATCCAAGCTGGAGAGACTCGATTGTTCTGATTTTAAGACAAATAAAGACTAGCTATTGAACATTTCGTCAAATAATTATCTGATAGGTCACATCTTCATTTTTATTGACGTGAATGGTTGTATTTGATATCAACATTTAGATATTTGATACAACTGTGTGTATCTACAACAAAGGACACATGTTTCAGAGATATTTATGCTGCACAATTTGTTGTAAGAATTTTGTCCTGGATGCCAATTGTGCCATCCAAAAGAATGTTCCACTGAAATCTACTCCTAGAAAGCACCAGTTTTACATTTCAGTGTTTGTCTTTGAGAAAGTGTGGTTGTTTTAGCAATTCTTTTGTCTTTATTAACAACACATTATCTCACAATTTGCACATTATGCAGAATCTTTTACATGTAAACAAATGGATAGTAGCCATGTTGGAAGGTAACCAGGTGAAAAGAAAAAAAAGATTAAGGAAAGGGATTTTCCTGCTATTTCTTATTGAAGAGGCCCTGATGTCCAAACATTTTAGACCCTTGCATTAGCAAAGGTCCAACTTCGTTCAATCCTACGGTCCCAATAATGCAAGTATATAGCTTCTACGACTGAAACCACCTCCCACCCCCCTAATTCCTTAATGCCTTGGATCGATTTGATCAAATATTGTTTTCCCAGTCAGAGTAATGCTGCTTGACAAAACTGAAACGTAAGTGGAAAGTTAGTAGTGGCCCTTTAAGAAAACTTAATCCATAGACTGTATAAAACATGGACGTAGTCTTTTGAGTTCACGCATTGATTTCTGAATAGGCCTTATGTTGCCCTAAAATGGCGGTCGCCATATTGCATTTGCTATCCCCAACTAACTTTCAATCAATCTAAAAACAGGTGAAGAGGTGGAGCTGAGGCAGGCCTTAAGCTTCCTCGCAAACAGCTACAATGCACCCACCTGTCAGTCAAATCAGCAAGGCCCCTAATTATGCAAATGTATTGCCTAAATAGAATAAATCCTGATGATTCATACTTTTTTTTAGCCTCTTGCAGTTTTTAGCAGTAAAGAAATGGCCTAAGGAGACCACAGACGTTTTTTTCTTTGTACCAGGCAGTAAACACTTTTATTTCTGCTGTAAAAAATGGCCTTTTAATATCGCCTCTAAAAGGAATTCATTGGTTTTTGCTGTCGGACTCTAGTGGACACTCGAGGAACTGCAGTTTTTAGCACTTTGGCTTTGGCTACATTTTTTAACACCGGTGGTTGGTTGATCTCAAATGTATGACAACAAACACACTTTTAGATGATAGTTCCTATTTCCTACATGTTTCATTTATCAAGCTATTCTGACAGGAGGAATAACGATCATACCCTCTGCACTCTGTGTGCTACACAAATAAAATGTATTCATGATAATGCATAAAGAAAAGAATTCAAAACAACACGGTATAGTCCAAGGCCCAGTGAGATTCATTTGTTCAAATGTCTCCAGGCAACAGGACGCACCTGTAAAACCCACAAAGTTCATGCAACTCCTCGGGTCACAAAATACATTTGTGTATACCTAATATAATATTATAGGTGGAGAAGTGAAAGTGTAGAAATGTCCTCGCTCTTCTTGCTGTCCTATCGACTAAAATGTACACACTAAGTTGAAAGAGGAAAGTATCATCTGTCCTGTTTTATGACGCTTCATAATGGAAAGAGCGCCTTTGGCTAATGGAGAAGGTAACAAAGAAAAGGAGGGCAAACAAATAAAGGTCTCTTATTTCAGATCAGCTGAGCAAATGTG